AATATTAAACAAACAAAAAAAAAGAGTTGTATGAGTCCCTAATACAACGATTTTAAAAAAATACAAAAACTGGTACCAACGCATGGCATGTTCAGTTAGCACACAAGAAGGTCAAATTTTCCGACAATCCAACATCCTACTATTTTCTGGTTACACCAAAAAATAAATAAAAATAAATCATTTCAAAGAAAAGAAAAGTGGATGAAGGGAGACAGCAGATGATGTAAGATATGAAAATCATCATAATTTATAATTCATCAAGGGTTCATGAGGAAGTGTGGAGAAGGGCGGGAAAAATGAGGAGCTGATGCCACGGGCTCAAGTAGAAAGAAACTATTTTGAAAATGATGATGGTAACATATATACAAAAGTGCTGATGCAATGTATGTGTAGATTGAAATAAAGGCTGTAAAAGCCCCGAATAAAATGATTAAAAAACAAAACAAAAAGCTTTATTTTATGGTCTGGTGAGTTGAGTGCTTAAAAACATCAAAATCAAAATTCCCACATTACAGGTCATCATGTTATAGATTATTTAAGAGAGAAAATTCCTTCAGTTGCTTAATCTTTTGGCTCCCCTATTCCAGGTGTTTATTCAATTCCCTTTTCATTACTAAATAAAGATGCTAATTGTCAAAAAAGAAAAAGAACAAAGAGTGATCGCAAAACCGAAGAGAATGTAATCACCGCCACCATGGAAAACTGTTGCACTGTTTACTTGCTTCATTGATTATGCAAAGGCATTCAACTGTATGCACCATAATAAACAGTGGATAACCTTGTGAAGGATGGGAATTCCAGAACACTTCATGGTGCTCATTTAGAACTTGTTCACGGATCAAGAGGCGGTTGTGGGAACAGAAGAAGGGAATACTGCACGGTTTAAAATCAGAAGTGTACATCAAGGTTGTATACTCTATCCTCTCACCATACTTGTTCAATCTACATGCTGATCAAATTGTCAGAGAAGCTGGATTACATGAAAAAGAGTATGGCATCAGGATTGGAAGAAGGCTTAACAACCTGTGATATGCAGACGACACAATCTTGCTTGCTGAGAGTGAGGAGGAATTGAAGCACTTGCTGGTGAAGACCAAGGATTGTAGCTTTCAGTATGGATTACAACTCAATGTAAGGAAGACCCAAATCCTCACATCTAGACCAATAGGTAACATCATGATAAATGGAGAAAACATTGAAGTTATCAAGAATTCTGTTTTACTTTGATCCATAATCAATGCTTATGGAAGGAGCAGGCATGAGATCAAATGACGTATTGCATTAGGTAAATCTGCTGCACTAGATCTCTTTAGAGTATTGAAGAGCAAGGATGTTACTCGGAAGACTACAGTGCACCTAACTGAAGCCATGGTATTCTCCATTGTATCATATGCATATTTAAGTTGGACATTGAATAAGGAAGACCAAAGAAGAATACATGCATTTGAATTGTGGTGTTGGGTAAGAATATTTTAATTACCATGAACTGCTAAAAGGACACACCAATCTGTGTTATAAAAAGTAAGGCCAGAGTGCTCCTTGAAGCAAGGAAGGCAAGATTTCACCTTACTTACTTTGGGCACATTGTTAGGAGAGACCAGTCCCTGGAAAAGGACATCATGTTTGGTAAACTAGAGGGACCGTGAAAAAGAGGAAGTCCCTCAAAGAGATGGACTGACATGGTGGCTGCACCATTGGGCTCAGGCATAGGAACAATTGTGAGGATGGCACAGGAACATGCAGTGGTTCATTCCAGGGTGCATAAGCCAACTTTACGGCACCTAACAACAACAACAACAATGAACAGCTCACTCTCTGGCCTCAGCTCACCATGTGCACAGTCCCACCAGGCTGCCTGTATTCAGTTGTGGGCACCAGCACACTTCCCTGAAATAACCAAGTACTCTTTTGTGACTATTAAACCAGAAACTGTTAGGTAGGCCAGCATAGGACTGGGGTTTGTCCGTTAACGCGTGCCCAGAGGGTCAAGCTAGGGGAACAAAGGAGTGGCACAGCGCACATGTTCAGGGTTCCTGCCGGTAGGCAGGGGTGGGCGTGAACTTGAATTGGATCACCTAGCCAGGTGAATTCAATTCAGCCAATGGGGTCGGCCAGGGGTCTTCCACCACGCCTCCCTGTGGAATCCTTGAAAAGGCAGAAGCCCAGAGGAGAGGAGATCTTAGAACAAGGACGAGAACCGAGTTGGGAGGACAAGAACTTAGAACGGAGGAGAAGGACCTAGACAGAAGGGAGAGAACTCCGGTGCAGAGAGCTTTGGCACGCTTTGCGGGACGCAGAGCCGCTTCCAGCTAGGCCGCAAGTCCGGGAGGAGCCCCTTGGGTGCCGTGTAAACCTGAAACTTCTTCTAACTTTCATAAAACTCACTTCGATCACGAACCAGGCTTCGGCGTGAATTCTTTCTCGCGGAGCCAAGGACCGAGGTATAAATCTAGCTCCAGAGAGATCTAACAAAACTTCTCCAGTCCTTTATTAAAAACCCACTTGGAAAAAAAACCCACTTGGATTACCAACCAGGCTTCAGCATGAATTCTTTATTGTGTGAAGCCAAGAATCAAGGTATTAATAACCCACCGAAGAAACCTAACAGAAAGAAGCATACAATAGTCCTTAAGTAGGAGTCCCTTGGGTGGTTCAAATGTCTTAAATGCTCTATTACTGAGCAAAGGTGGCTGGTTTGAACCCATCTGGGGAGCCCGCATGGAATAGTGGTTATGTGCTGGGCTGCTAACTGCGAGGTTAAGCAGTTTGAAACCACC